AAAAAAATTTTTTTTTTTTTTTTTTTTTTTTTTACACAGGGAAAGGATGGGCTTGTGGGGGGATGGAAAAAAAGAGGTGGGATGTATCAGGTACAGGTGTAAATTCCCTATGTTGAAAAGTTATCATTATGTACGCCTAAAACATACCAGTAAATGTTTTCTTAAAAATAAAAAATTCAAAATAAAATATTGTGTGGTTCTGGCATAAAGATACCTAGACCAAGGAAAATAGAATGCAGAGCCCAGAGATAAACCCTCACCTATACAGGCAAAAGGCCTTTGACAAGGGTGCCAGGACAATTATCTGGAGAAAAGGACAGTCCTTTCAATAGAGGCTAGGTAAACCAGAGATCCACATCCCAGAGAATGAAGTCAGATATTCACCTAATACCGTACACAAAAATTAATCTGAAAGAGATCAAACACTTAAAAATAAGATACAAAATTCTTACAAGCAAACAGAAGAAAAGCTTCATTACTGGAACTAGCAATGATTTCTTGGATATAACATGAAAAGCACAGGCAACAAATTTTTAAAAAAGGACAAAATGGACTTCACCAAAATTAAAAATTTTTTGTATCCAAGGACACCATCCACAGAGAATAAAAAGCAACTAACAGAGTAAGATAAAACATCTGCAAATCACATATCACATAAACCATTACAGTATATGGAGAACACCTAGAACTCAACAATAATAGAATTTAAAAATGGGCAAGGGACTTTTGAATAGACATTTCTCCAAAGAAGATATAAAATGGTCATAAGCACATGGTCAGCAACACTAGTACTGGAGCAATACATATCAATACCACTGCACACCTCTTACGATGACTCTAACTACAAAAAGAGATAATAACAAATATAGCAGAAGAAATCAGAACATTCACACACTGCTTGGAGAGACATAAAATAATCCAGCAGCTGTGGAAAATAGTTTGGTGGTTCCTCAAAAAGTTAAACACAGGGAGCCAGGGATTTAGCTCAGTGTTTCCACCAAATGCCTTGCAAGCACAAGGACCCAAGTTCGATCCCCAGTACCAAAAAAAAAGCTAAACACAGGTTTACCTTAGGACTTGGCAATTCCACTTCTAGGAAACTACTCAAGGGAATTGAAAGCAAGAACTCAAGTACACATACATGAATGTTCACAGCAGCACTATTCACAATAACCAAATGGTACAAAGAATCCAGATGTTGGAATTCCAGTCAACAAATGGATGGGTAAACGAAATATGCCATACATTCATACAGTGAAATAATGCATGAATAAGGAAAGCCAAAAAGGGAAAGAAGGACTGACACATGCCCCAACACGGAGGAAGCCCAAAAACACTCTGCAAATGGAAAACATCCAGCCACGAAAGGCTAGTTATTACATGATCTCATTTCTGTGAAATGTCCTGAAGAGGGAAATGCGAAGATAGAAAGTACATCAGTGGTAGCAAGGAGCTTGCAAGAGGGTACAATGGAGACTGACTGTTAACAGAGACAGGGCTTCTTCTTGAAGTGATAATAACTGAAGTTGGATAGAAGTGGTGACTGCACAACCCTATAAAGATACTCATTAAAGGGCCGGAGATTTAGCTCAGTGGTTCTGCTACCGGCCTCGCAAGAGCAAGGTCCCAAGTTCGATCCCTGGTACTAAAAAAAAAAAAACAAAACAAACAAAAAGATACTCACTACAACTCACTGAATTATGCAGTCCAAAAGTCTTAGGGGTCGGCAAATTATATCTTAATTTTTTAAAAAAAGTGGACATGAGCTATTTGTGAAGCAAAAAGTCAATAGGAAATATCTACATTTTCTTTTACTCTTTGCTCAAGCTCTCTGCATGCAGCCCTATCGCATAGAGGAAAGAGCAGTCCCAGCCGGAACCCTTCTTCTCACCTTGAGGTGCTGGTGCATGCAGTAGCGACACACCTTGTGCTTCATCTCATGGGTAACACTGCTCGAGAAAGGAATGAACCCACATTTTGGCTGCAAGATAAAAAAAGGAAGAAAAACCTCTTAGGGAGAAGTAACATACCATTAAACAGACACATCACTAACTACAAGATGATGAAAAGCAGCAAGGGACTTGCTTCATTTCCACCTCCCAAGGGGATGGATGCTTCGCCATCACATCACACACACGCCTCTGCCTCCAGGGGTCCCAAGGCCAGCACTCCAGATGGGCAGGTGGGCGGAGGCTCTGTGCTTTCCTTACAGAACGTGACTGGCAGCATGGAAGGAGTATAGACAGGACCAGGGTTCCTAACTAGGGAAGCAGAATCATCGTTTCTGCTGATAAAAGGCACTGTTTGTGCAGCTTGTCCATCTGATAGATACTTGGCTCTCAGAAAGTCAGGGAACTCAGCTGTCTTCTACATGCCACATCCTCTGAGCATATGTAACATGCAAAGCAAGGCCTATGCTCAGAATCAGGCTGCAGAATGTGACTGGGGAGACAAAACATCCATCCATCCTTCTTCCACTGCACCCGTGAGGATCCTGAGTTGCAATGCTTAGGCCAACAGCATGACCCAACGGCCAGAGGTTGGAAGGAAAGAGACAGGCAATACCCAGACATAGGAGGTTTTCTGGGGGAGCTGAAACAAGAGGGCCCTGGCCCTTCTCCAGTCCTACTACCTGTGCCAGACAGTAAACCCAGACTGTTGGCCATGACTTTCTAGGACTCTGACCTGTGGAAGCAGGATGCAGTCTTCATCTAAAGAGCACCTCAGGAATGGGTCCTCAGCACAGTGAGCCATGGCCACAAGGCCAAGGTAGCTACAGGAAGTGGGGAGGAGTGAAGGGAGCCAAGCAAATGTACAAAGAGGGAATAGGAACCCAACATGCTTCCCACTGGTGACCCTTGACCAGGGCTTGTATCAGCCTAGCTGTGTGGGGCAGGTCACTGTCATCCCCAAGGAAGGAGCCCAAACTTGGAGTCTGGAGCTGTGGAGGGACCCAGAGAATGTGAGATAACTGGAAGGGGAGAAAAGCAAGCTGAATTTCTGAGATGGGGCTGCAAAGCATACTGAAGGCAAAAGCCACGAGACGGACAGCCCCAGACTGACCTTTCCCTTTCCCCACACCATTTGAAGTTTCACCTTAATCTCTACACACAGAATCGGCCGGTGCTCTGTAATGCGGTAGGTCTGAAGTCTGGTGAGGTTGGGAAGGCACATAGCATAACCACTGAGCGTGTCCAGCTCCTTGTCACAACGAGACTCTGAAAAGACAGAGCACAGGTCACACCTAGAGATCAGAGAAGAGCGACAGAGTCCCACAGTGACAGAGAGTGGAACAAGCATAGCCTTATGCTTGTTCTAAGGAGGTCATTCTGCACCTGGTTAAAGCCTCCCTCATCTTTGCCTGGGGACTTTGGGATGCACAACAGGGTGGTTCACACCACACCTATAATCCCAGCACTCAGGAGGCAAAGCCAAGAGAACCGCAAACTTGAGGACAGCCTAGGCTACACAGTGAGACCTGGACTCCATAGCAAGAGCCTATCTCCAAAAACAACCACAAAACAGTACCTATGGCAAACTTTAGGCCAGGTGCCCTCAGCTCCAGAGGGGCACAGTGAAGCAGGCAGTCAGCCCTGTCCTTCACATCTCTGAGCCCCAGTAATAGCTCTGGACACAGGGGCTCCTCAGTGGCAACCCTTGTGCCACATCTGCTTGCTGGGGAAATAAGTGCTGCCACAAACCCTATGGGAGAGGCTTCCTAGAGCTCTTCCAGACTCTGCCACTGCACCTCCTCCCATGACTGTTTTCATCTTTATTCTTTGGCTGTAATACACCATAAGCATGAGTGTAACTGTGAGATTTAGTGTCCTTCTAGCCATTATAAATCTGAGGGTGGCCTTGGGGACCTTCAAATGTGCAACTGTTTGTCAGAAGTGAGGAGAGCCTTGGGAACCCCCTAACTCTATGACTCTCTCAGCCCAGGAACTAGGAGAGGAAGCAAGCTGCAGCCCCTACCTTCCCCTCAAACCAGGGCCCTTCCCTATATGCAACACTTGGATAGCTCGTATGGACAGAGCCAGATGAGGCTAGGCTTCCTCCCCAGCCCAGTAAGTCTGACTCTAAGTCCTTACTACAAGGGGCAGTACCATTCTTATCACTGAAGTCATAAGACCTCAATCATGATCAGAAAATAAAATTGGCGTGCTGAGCAGCATGCACATCCTGGGACAGGACCTAGAGCTGGCCTCTCTCCACTCTTACAGACAAAAGGATCAGAGACCAGACAATGTCCTGTGTTTCCACCTCCTCTGCCACAACACAGAGCCTACAGCATGGGGCCAGCTTTTCCCTACCCCAGCCAGACCCCAAGCACACAGCATTATTTGCTTTCATTTTCTAATCCAATCAGGAAGGAATCCTATGCTGGCCAATTATTACGCTTACTTGCCTGGCTATGCTCAAGGAAGAGACATTTATACACTCAACACAGGATTTTATGTCTTGATCAATAACTGGGGGTTGGGGGGGGTGTTAACCTTGGTTAACCTTGTTCTGGTTCTTGCCAGCAAGACCACCAGCAAGTTCAGGAAAGAGGCATGGGCCTGGGAGGGGATAACAAAATTCTGGCCATAAAACTGCTGAACATTTCTTGTACCTAACACAGATGAACATTTCAAATACTTTTCAAATAGGATTTTTTAAATCACAAACAATAGTCATAACTTAAGACACACTTACCTGGTCTTTCAGACTGTATCTTTAAACATAGTTGTTTCACAAACTCTAAAGGCAGCTGAACAACTTCCTGTAAGAAAACACGAAATAATATGGGTTGCACAAGAAGACAGTTAATGTCAAAGAGCTGTGCACCTAAACACAGTCAAAATGGTAAAGTTCACATAATGTGTATTTTGTCACACACAAAAAAGCTTAAAACAATTTTTTTTAATTTTTAAGAAATTGTAAAGCTTAAAAAAATTCAGCATGTAGGTTTTTGGAACAAAAGCTGATCTGTTATTTTCTGAACCTGTCTAGACACGCCATTTGAATGCCCCAGAGCAGCCAGGATCCAGTAGAGGGAGCAGCCATCCACATCTCCTGCCACAGAAGACCTGGTCATAGCAGCACCCACATCACAAAGCAGGGGCCTGGGGCAGTTTTGGGGCCGCATGAAGACCCTCGCTGACCCCTCAGACAGCCTCAGGGTCTCTCACACTGCCACCTGTAAGGCAGGTCAGCTGATGGAGTTGCTATCCTGCTATCCACGAGTGAGCCAGTCAGGGGAACTCATGTGACTGATGGCCAGGCACTCCTCTCCACTTGGCTGTTTCCCAGCAATTTCCCAAATCAAAGGGATTTGATTCAAGTAACACTGCTTACCATCTTCCCTGACCTTTCATGTTTTCAGAGTAGCAACTATGACTTCTGAAAAAGCCTGAGAGAGACACAGACCTGCTTAAAACAAAAGTGCTGGATGGGAATACTGCCCACGGGGAGGCTTGCCTTCTCTACTGGCCCAGCATGCACCATGCACATGCCTGCTTCCTGCCTGCCGTACCATCTCATTGTGATTTTTTATTTATAGAACCATGCTGTCTGCTGATGACAATAGAGGCACTAAAAATCTCAATGTGGAACTGGGTAATCTGAAACAAAGGAAAAGAGTGGGAAATGTACAAGTCCCAAAATTCAAACCTCAAAGTGGTTTGAGGAGCAAACATTTGCTCATCTTTAAAGAAACCAAAAGTTCAAAGGAATAAATACCCATCCTGACATTGTGTGTGTGAGAACAATGATAAGAACTGCATAGGAGGCTGGGCATGGGTAGCACACACCTATAATCCCACCACTCTGTGAGGCTGTGACAAGACCATAGCAGTTCGCCGGGTGTGGTGGCGCACGCCTGTAATCCCAGCACTCAGGAGACTGAGGCAGGAGGATCGCTGTGAGTTCAAAACCAGCCTGCGCTACATAGTGAGCTCCAAGTCTCTCTCAACTACATAGTGAGACCCTGTCACACAACAACAACAACAAAAAAGAAGTTCAAGCCCAACCTGGGCAACTTGTGAGTTGCAAAAGGGGGCGCAGGGGATGAAAATAGTTCACATCCTAGGTTCAATCCCCAGTACCAATACACACACACACACATACACATACACACACCCTAGAAATGCCTTGGCCCACACCACAGGGAACCCAGCTGAGGACATAGTACCTACACAGGTCTAGGGCCACACATACACAAGACACCCCCCACCCATGCTACTGTCTGCCTGAGTCCACAGATACCCTGAGTTTCTTCTCACAACTTTGAATTACTGATTCTGCAACAAGGGTATCTGTATCTTCCTCAAGATACCATGCCTACAGTAGGCATCCTCTTTGAGTGCCACCCACCCAACCATGTGAACATGGTGAGGAGCAGCCCTGCACAAGGCACCTACCTGAGAAGAACCATAGTTAAGGCCCACAAAAATGTCTCTGCGGGCGCTGCAACACATGTACTAAGATGAGTAAGGACCTCCAGACATGGCACCGCCCTCCAAGGGGCAAAGAGATGCTGCCAGAACACCGGGCTGCCAGCCTGGAGTTCCCTGCCCAGCCTATACATCAGCAATCTGAGGTTCAAAATGGAAGTCGAGGCTACCCCGCAAGATGGCCAACCCTAAGGAAGTAGATCTGGTCAAAGGGCAAGGATGAACTTCTGAAATTTCAGGGTCCTCTAGTACTTAAGAAGCCTCAGCTGTATGTTTAAGGAGTTCCCTAAACTCTCAAGGTCCCTAGAACTGCCCAGACTTGACCTGTGTCCCAAGCAGGGTGAGGGCCAGGGTGTGGCTCGTCATGGGGGCTGACTGTGTCATGTCCAAGATGAAATGTCTTCTCAAAGGCTCCACCATGGGCCGGGGATTAGCTCAGTGGTGCTACCGCCTGCCTCCCAAGTGCAAGGTCCCAAGTTCGACACCCAGTACCCCAAAAGAACAGGTTCCACCTTGCCTGATGAGCTGATGCGCGTGCTTGCTACCAGGCTCAGTGTGCACTGTGAGCATCCTGCCAGGACATGCTTACCTGAAGAAAAGCAAGCTGGGGTTCACTCTGGCAGGTATCCTAATGTGGAGGAGATACACTGTGACCCTTCACACTAAGGACAAACAGAACCAAACCCACTGCCAGACATTTCTGATCCTGTCCCATCCCTCACAGGTGATCTAATCTCACCACCCCAGCCAACAAGCACCATCGCCACTCAAGTTCTCCCTTCTGGAAGAGATCTGAAGTTCCAGGACCAGAAACTGCCACCCAGCCTGACAAGCTGGAGCCAGGGACAGCAAGTGCTGGCTCATCTGAAAATATTCTCTCCTCAGGGAGCCCACAGCTGGCACAGACATACCGTGTGGAAGAACCACGTGGGTCTTCCTAAAAGGGCACCTGTGACCGTGGGGGGATGGGCAACATCTGCAGCAGCTGAGGAAAGGCAGGAGGGAGGTGGGTTTTGCAGCCTCGGGCCTGTGGCTCTGACAATCCAGGTCGGCAGAAGGATGAGCCTGGGGTCACCCCTTGTCCTGTCCCCACAGAGCACAGGTGAGCAGCAAGCAGCACCCACACAGAAAGCAATGTCAAGGCTTTTCACAGCTTTTCTTTTTTTTTGTTTTGTTTTGTTTTGGTTTTGGTTTTTTGAGACGGGGTCTCACTATGTAGTTCAGAATGCCCTGGAACTCACTGTGTAGCCCAGGATGGTCTGGAACTCACAGCGATCCTCCTGCCTCAGCCTCCCAAGTGCTGGGATTACAGGTGTGCGCCACCACACCCAGCTCACAGCTTTTCTCCTACACTCCAGCTTTTAAAATTAAATTCAGGCACTGTGGCCCCTCAGTCAGTGTGGTGAGCAGTGTCTCATTCCTGTGTTTGTAGCCATGTTCCTCCTCTACAAAGCCAAGAAGCCAAGGGGGTGGGACTCCCTATGTTCCCTACATTGCTGGTGGGCAGAGCTGTTCCTTCCAGCTCAAGGACAACTGACCACTCACCTGAACACCCTCACCAAGCAGAGCTTCCAGAAGGGCCAGGTGGAAGAGAGCAGGTTCTCTCTCAACCTCGTTGTCCTCAGCTAGAAAATGGGTCTCTCAGCATCCATTCAGCCACCACAGGTGAGCAAAGCCCTCAGAGACTGAGTGTATGAATGTTATCATTTCACACAATGTTTCCAACAACTTACCTGCTAGTATTGTTGACATAGAACTTGCATATGAATTGAGATGAATAAAAATCACTTACCCCACAGTGCACACAGTTCTCCCCCAAAAACTCTTTCATGACATTTTTGCCAAAGTCCACTATGTCCTGCAGGTGCTGAAATATCTCTTCTGATGTCTGCAAGAGACAAGCATAGGACAGGCTCAGCACAGACCTGGTAAGGAGCCCCAGAAAGAGGACACCAAAATCCCCAAAGGCCATCGAGAGCACAGTGGCATCTGAGCCAGTCAGGCAGCAGTCTTCAGCCTGAGAGAAAGCCCCCTAGGGCCGCCCTGGACTCTTGTCCCAGGCCTGTCCTCTCACGTCCCTCCTCCCACTCCCAGGAGCACCACTGCCACCAACATGCCCTCTGAAGAGCTGACTTGGGAAATTCCTCACATCCAAAGGGCATTAGGTATTTAGATGTAGAATAAAGTGCCACACCTGCTGGGCAAGCGCAAGGTCCTGAGTTTGATCCCCAGTACCAAAAAAAAAAGATACAGAATAAAGTATTTTCTCCCCAGTCAGAGGTTTTCCAAGGGTCAAAAAGCAGGTGAGACTGAGTGAGACAGAAAGTCACTCAATGTGTCCCAAGGTGAGAAGTGCAAAGGACCAACAGTGGGTCACTCCCAGGAGAGTTACATACACAAAGGCTGGCCCAGTAGAATCTTCCTGCACTAGCAGGTCTGCTATGCATATGGGGTTTTGTCCAAGGTGGGCCGGGAGGCACCCAGGACCAAACTTGAGCTCAGGAAAGTTGCAGGACTGAGCATCCACCCTGTGTCTTCACAGCCCCTGGAGAACCCACTACCTGTACCTGGCATGTGCAGATGTCCTGTAGCTCCTATAACAGGATCACATCAGAACTGGACCTGACAGAAAAGCCCAGAACACAACTAGTGGCCCCATGCAACTGTGTCACAGCTTCTGACAAAAAGCTTGTCCAGGCAACAGTAGAGTGATGGCACAAGACCTCCAATGAAGCAGCTGCATCCCACTGTGTTGCTTAAGAACACATAAAGCAACTGTACTGTATTCTTAAAAAGTACCAATACACTCAAAGAAAAACCATATAAAGCAAATGCAGCCTTGGAGATACCACTTCAGTCAGTCTACACAGAAGGCTGACAGAGGGAATTGAGGTGGGTAAGGGGTGAGCACTGCAATCACCGAACCGGGCACAGTGGGGAGAGAGGAGACTAAAGGCACTCTGGGATATATCCTACCGGAACAGAATACCTCCAGCCATTTCTCTTCAGTAGCTGGGACAGGAGCACAGGATGCTAGCCACGTGCCATCACCCCCCTCTGCCTGCCCCCACACTGACACAGGCCCATCTACCCTTGCTGTGGGGACCTGAATTCACAGGCTGGCTCAGCCCCCCAGCCCACCCAAGCTTACCTCATGTGCAGAAAGGGCCAGGCGAGTATCTCAGCCTCCCTCAGAGGATACAATGCCCTCACCCGCATCACAGGAAGCAGAGAAAAGGCCATGGATAAAGGAGCCTTTGCTACTCAGTGTTCACCTGCGATCTCCTGAGATTTATACTTCAAAGGAGCCAGGTGGCCACAGTACAGGGTCAAAAATGTGACAGCAGCAGTCCTGTGAGTGGCCCATGGATAATCAAGTCAAAAGAAACTACTGTTCCCTCTGACCCTGCCCACCAGGACTTTAACATAACACAGATTGTCTAGCAGGTGTCACACTATTTCCACAAAGACAATTTCACAGATGGGGAGACTGAGGCAGTGGGTACTTGACAAGGCAAAGCTGAGACCAGGTCCTTGCCAGAGCAGGACCCACAGACTGGGCTAGAGCATCTCCTACTTAGTGCCAAGCAGAACCACCATAACAGAGGTAAGCGACACGCAGTGACATAAAATGAAGCATGGGTCAAAGTGCTGAGACCTGGAAGGTCTCACATCAAAAATCTTAAGGCTCATCACCTTCCACACTGAATGCTTGTGTCATTTTTAAATTTCTACAATTATCATTAATATTTCTGCACCAGGAAAAAAAATCCATCTTCTTAAAAAATGGTTATAATGACTGGAGAGGTGACCTTGTCAATCTTACCTTCTTCCTATTTGGAGGAAACTTCAGAAAACGCAGCACAACACAGCGCTATTGGAAAATAAAACAAAATCTGATTAGTCCTTGGCCGGCAAGCAGACTCTGCAACCAGTAGGTGCAGAGAAGGGGTGAGGTCAGGGTGGCAGTCCTGAGGCCTAGGCCACTGGGAAGCCCCTGCAAAGGGGAGGCCAGGGTAGGGCCACTTCAGGGTGCACAGGCCGCCAGAAAACCTGTGGCCTTTAACCCAGCTCTCCCATGCCCAGATGTTTATCTTAAAGAAATAATTAAGAAAGCTCAACATACTTTAACTATCATGTATAAAAGCAATGTTTTTAATTCCAAATAAAATGGAAACAACCTCATCATCCAAAACAGAGGGATAGTTAAATGCAGAGGGATACATTGCATGCTTGCATAGCTTGCAGTAAGTTTCAGGAAAACAGGAAGGCCAGTAGTTATAGACAAGACATGCAGTCACCTCACACTGCTAAGTAAAAAGCTGGCAGAACAAAGCACACAGAATGAGCCCATTTTCAAAAAGAAAAAATATATACATATACAGTATGTACACATACATAATATACACATATCTATGACTATAGTTCTATTTGTGTGAAATTAAAAAAACAGGTAAGACTGACCCTGGCACCCACTCCTTAGGGAGGTGGGATGGCCCCTGAGGAATACCAAGAGGAGCCTGGTCATGGGGTTCTGGGCTCATTTACTTTGTCACAACTAAGCTAAACTCTTATAATCTCATCATCTTTCCATAGGTATGTGACACCTCAATTTTTTTTAAACTGTAATTTTTCAGTGAAATTTGAGTATGATCTGCTTAGATGGAAGGGTCTGAAATGATGGTTCAGCACAAGTTCAACAGCATCAATAGGGCAATAGAATTGCACAGTGACTGCAATTCTTTTTTTTTTCAGTGAAAGCTGGCTTTGAACTCACTATGTAGCCCAGGCTGGCCTTGAACTTGTGGCTATCCTCCTGCCTCAACCTCCCAAGTACTAGGATCACAGGTGTGTGCCACCATGCCCAGCCACAATAATTTTTTAGACATCCTACTTATCTCAATATTTCAGCACTTTAATGTTCACATGATATATACAATAAGAAAGTACATTGTACATGGGAAGAAGGTATCTGAGACAGACTTTACCTAAACATGACAGGGTGGGATATGGTCCCTGGCAGGTACACTGGGTAGCAAACCAGGACAGCTTACTGGCGACAGCTTAGAAAGCACAGCTTTCTAGAATAAAAGATGCCTTATGGAGCAAAAAACATCCTATGGAGATGAAACCAGCCCTGGGCACCCAGGCCTGTCTATTCAGTCAATCCATACTGCTCTTCCTAAAACCCAACTGTCCTGGCGGCACCTAATTGCTCTTCTTCTTTTAAAATTTACTTTTACAGAAAGTAATAAAGTATTCTCTAAATAATGAAAAAAAGAATAAGACTATAAGAGCAAGAAGCAATTTAAATATGTTCAGGGACCATTTTCATCTCCAGAATTAAGGATTATTTTAATGTTACATCATTGCCTTTTCTCTTTTACTTTCCTTTTTAGTTTTATTTTAGGATTCCCTATTTTTAATGTTCATACAGAGATTTCTTTAACTGAAATACCGAATAGTTTCTTCAGTGTGAAAAACTATAATAGTACACAGGATCCTAATGAGATAATTAATAATGTGAAATAGGAAGTAAAGGGCTAAAGGTGTAGGGAAAGTGGGAAGGGTGGGGGAAAGGTAATAAGGGAGAGGAAAAAAAATATGAGAAACTGAAAAAATGGAAATAAAGTGTTTGTAAATGGGGAGGGGAGGAGGGGGTGAAGGGAGGGCAGGGACAAGGGGAAAAAATGAGAATCAAGATCTATTATGTAAAGGTACAGAATCCCAATGATGAATGTAACTGTATTGTATACCTAGATTGTACCAATAAACTCAATAAAAAGAAAAAAAATAAATAAAATAAAATTTACTTTTAAATTTCTAGTGTTTTTAAGAGGGTCTCACTGTGTTGGCTAGGCTGGTCTGAAACTCCTAGACTTAAGTGATTCTCCTGCCTCAACCTGCCAAGTAGATATGACTGACTACTCATAGGTACATGTTACTGAGCCCACCATCCTCAGGCTCTTACTGAGGTTCCCTTCCCAGTCACTGCCACTCACTTGTCTCACTGCCAACCTCTTTGGGTGCCAAACACAGACTGGGGACCTGAGGTGGATGGGATTCATGCCAAGACTGCGCCCTCCTAAGTCCAAGGCTGCAATCAACAATGGACCTGGGGAGTCATTGGCTGAGAATCGCTATTTCATAAAACTGTAATTCCATCTAAATTCAAGGAAAAACAAGTTGAGCTACAGAAATACCAACTCTAGAAAACTTTCCAGAAATTCACATTCCCAAAAGTGATTCAGTCCTCACCTTGACACAATTTCTGCCTCAGAGCCTATTTGATCAGTCCATCCAACAATTACACCAACGATAGTATAGAATGCTGCCTTAGACAGTGGTATCCAGCACTACCAACAACACATGTCCACAGAGAGAGTTAGCAAGTTTTCTAAGGAAAGCCTGATCATGCTTGAAAAACCAACACAGTAAGAAAATATACTAAGGCACTGACCACATGGACTGAACCACACTGCCTTGGCCCACATGCAACCCAAGGACTAGCTCTGTCCCTCATACAAGGACATACCTGTTGCCCACAGGAGCCAAGCTCGCTCACCCATAGTTTTATGGCATCTAAAAACAAGGAAAGTCTCTCTCAATTACCCAGGAGACTATTAAGCTGCACAACAGCATTGTAGCCAGGCAGTTGCAAGGAAGGCAAAGCCAAGCAAGTCACGTGAGCTTTTTTATTGTTGGAATGCCCCACTATAGCCTCAGAGAAAGGAGTTTAGAAAGCCCATGAACAGAAATACTAACAACAAGAAACAGAGACCCTGCAGTGGGCAACACTTGCCTATTAACACAGACTCAGTGTTCCAACTTTCTCTGCTACTGTTGTTCCTAATAAAGGCAGCAACTGGACCTTTCTACTTACAAATGGAAATTACAGATTGCATTTGCATTATTAACATCAAGTATAAAGTAACTCAGAAAGCAATCATCTGGCTTATCAAGATTTTTTAAAACCAAATTGTATAGGCACAATACAAAGAAAAACTGGACACAGATTCCAGGAAAAAAAAAAAAAACATCAAAACCACAATGACTTCAGGGTTTGGTCCTCACTCCTTCCTGCCAATAATAAATAAGTAAATGACAATAAACATTTACCACTGTTCCCCCAGCACTTATGATGATAAACATTTACCACTGCTCCCCCAGCACTTCTGTCAATAATTATCACGGGGGCGGGGTACCAGGAATAGAACTTAGCACCTCACACTTGCCAGGCACACACTGTGCCAGTGGGCTAAATCCCTGGCCCAATAATCATTATTATTATTGCTGCAATAAGCAATATGTGCAAAGCACCAGAGATACAACACCCCCAAACTAGTCATCTCTGCCATCTCTCCCTCCAAGGTGAGTCACTCAAGCTTCAGGGTAAAGAATGTGGAAAGTGAAGCTCCAAGGGAACAGATTAGGTCTCCGAGAGACCTGCCACACTGGTGGCCCAACCTCAGCCTTCAGGGAAGCCCTGTGATCAAGGGCATGAACCCAAAGGTCAAGGCTAAGTGGAGTGGAACAGAGCTTGGAGGTGGGGCTGGGGGCGTTCCACATCTTCTGAGTTATCAGGTTCCTTGTAAGTAACTGCCCATTGGCAGCCTGGGGCTCTGGCTGGAGAGTTGATCCCCACAGAGGATGTGGACAGAGACCTTGCCAGGGCTGGGCAGCAAAGCCTGGGTGGCTCTCCCTTCCTGGTCCACCCTTCTACAGGGTCTCCTCAGCTACCAAGTCCATATTCAGCTACCACCCACAGGAAGTCTCCTTCCCCTTCCCAGTAAGGAGCCAGAACCATGACCAACTGAACAAGTCTGAATGTAATGATGTGTCTATTTCAAGGGAAACAGCTTTCTCCACCTACCCATTTATCATACAAGCACTGTCACCAGAAACCTAATCACTACCCCCACTGCCCCAAGAGGGGCTGCAGAATCAGCTTTAAAGGCCAATCTTAACACCAACACTCAGACACACGGCTTGCCTCGGTAGTACAGCTAGTGCCAACCACCCCTTGTAAGGGGCCTGACTGGGCTATGCCAGCTAGAGGAGGTTTGCCCCTGAATGTGCCAGAAAGAGGCCATTGGGAATATGGCCAGCCACAGGCCAGGCAACATTCATGAGACATATTGTAGAGACAGGTAAAAAATTGACGCCATACCAGCTCTTGTTGGCAGAAAGACTCAATGAGCCAAGAGGCACCCTTAGTTGGAGTCCAAACAGAAACATGGAGGATTGCTAAGTACTCAAAAAGCACATAAGTGGGGAAAGACTGGAAGGAAGTGCACTTCCTGTTAACAGAAGTTCTCTTCCCCACTCTATCTTTTCTGGGCAGGAGGAAGCAATACTTGTTATTAAAGAAAAGTAAAAGGCCACAATCAACCAATATATAAAAAAAGAAACACTTGCCAACACAAAGTCTGAGGGGGTGTGACAGCTGAGACAAATTACCTGAAAAAAAAAAAGGTATGGGCTGGTGATTTAGCTCAGTAGCTCCCACACCTGCCTCACAAGTACAGGTGTTGAGTTTGATCCCAGTACCAAAAGAGAAGAGGAAGAAGAAAAGGTTTATTTCATCTCAGTTTCAGGAATTTCAGACCATGTTTACTTGACTCCACTGCTTCTGGACCTAAAGTGAAGCAGCACAACACAGTAGAAGTGTGTCACAAAGGACACCTATTCAACCTCACAGCAACTGAGAAGCAGAGAGCAGGAGGAAGTCCCGAATCCCTACACCTCCTGCAAAGACACACCCTCAATGGCCTAGGCCTCATCTCCCAACAGTGCCACAGGCTGGGGACCAAATCTTCAACACATGGACCTTTGGGGAACATTTAAGATCTAACCCATAACAGAGAGGAACTT